GGTGGATGCTCAACCAGTGAGCCACACCGGCTGGGCTGGAAGTCTACATTAGAATTGATTTACTTGCAATCTTTTTTGTTTTTGAATGCTTTGTCCTTTTTATAGGAGTGTGAAATTGACAATGATTTTTTGAGAGTTCATTTTCTGCTCTTTTGAAATTTTAGTTCTCTCTGACCTCCATTTCAGCAGCAAGTGGCAGTTTATATAATTATGCCACATGAGTAATTGGAAACAAAAGGATAGTGATGGGCATCTTTTTGGTGATGTTATTACATACATAGAGTCAGTTAAACAAAGATTACTGGAACCTGAAAAGGAAACATTGTGTAAAAGTTCAGTGAAATTGTAATAAAAATACCTTTTTATTTGAGTTTAGAAATAAGGAATTTGCATTCACTTTTAAGTCCTAAACAGAAAAGACTCAAACAATGATAAAATATATGTGTGCACTTTTCAATTAACTTTAGTTAGCCTTACTCAATTGTTTTGTTTTGCTTCAGTAGGAGATATTATTTGAATTGCCAATACTAGAGAAATATTTTTTTACATTAATAAGGATTTTAAATTGGCCGATATTTAAGTATTTAAGAGAAGAAACCACAGTAGAGTGAAACCTACCTGGTTGAAGCTTTGAAGTGTTTTTCTGCCTAAAGTATAGAACTTTATTATCAGAACCTTCCACATATATTAGAAGCTGCTCTTCTTGAAAATCTATTAAAATAGTCGAATCTCAAAACTTAGCAATGCATTTCTAAGATTTAGGGATCCCAAGCTGCTGCTAATAAAGTGGAAGGAGATGTAACCTAAAGGAATCAGGATATAATTGTATGTAACTGTGTAGTGAATAAAGAAATTATGTAACTTCTGAATTTTAGTTCATAAGTAGAAATGCTGGTATTGCACATTCCATGCTGTGGTGGGATTAACTTAGTGGATATTTGGTGTGTTTTTTTCATGTTGGTAGGAAATGTTTATGATCACATGACGATAGAGCTGGAAGGGCCTTAGCAATCTCATCCCAACCTCTTTGTGAGGAAGGAAAAGTCAGCTCTGTCACAGTAATCAATGAGTGAATTTGAAGTAAAACCTAAAAATGAATTTTCATTTGTGAAATAGTAAAATATAAGTAGTTGTCATTTCTGATTAAATTACATTGTCTATAGTTGTTTCTGAATTTTATGTATTTTTTAGCCAGCCTTTTAGTGTTCCTCTAAAATTATTCTACAGTCTGAATTTTTTCTTTTTGCTATCTCAAAACTAGTGGTCATTTTGACAAATTGGCTCATTCATTCATTAAAAAAATTATTTATGCTATGTCTGCCGTATCCCAGAAACTCTGCGAGACTCAGGGAAGGTGATGGTGAGCAGAACCTTGCCACCCTCATGAAACTTCTCGTGAAATGGAGAGAGACTCTTGGCTACATGTTAACACAAATGTGACATTTAGCAAGGACAAGGAAGGAAGGTGTGTAGTCATAGCTTTTGTTAGAGCGATTTGACTTGCCAGGGAAGGTTTCACTGAGGAACAGATGTCTAGTCCGGGAGCTGCAGCATGAGGAGGAATTAGTAGGCCAAGAAGAGGGCGGTCCATTTCCTAGGCAGGGCGAACAGTGTGCACACATGCCCTGAACAGGGAAAGAGCTGTGTGAGAAAGGGTGACTAAAAGAAGGCCCGTGTAGTTGGACTCGAGAGGATGGATTGGGGAGAAGGAGCTGGAGAAGTAGGAAGTAGATCAAGACTGAATATTACCAATTAGTTAGGAATCATTACAGAAGCCCAGGTGAGAAGATGGTACTGGCAGGGCAGAAGTAAATGTAGGCAGTTTTGAGCCATATTAAGAAGGTTTAAAAAAAAAGTATATAGCTGATTGGGTTGAAGTACATTGCAGAAGTTACAGGTTGATTTTACTTTTTTTGTGAGAAGATGGTACTGGCAGGGCAGAAGTAAATGTAGGCAGTTTTGAGCCATATTAAGAGGGTTTAAAAAAATGTATATAGCTGATTGGATTGAAGTACATTGCAGAAGTTACAGGTTGATTGATTTTACTTTTTTTCCTCTAGGAATTATCCAGCCTGCCTTTGCTGCTATGGAACAGAAACTGATTTAAACGAAGTATCTTGATTTTTGTACGTTGTAGCATTCCTAAAATTCTAATCCTATCTTCTCTTACATTAAAAACTTTATTTAAGTTAGAAATATGAAGCAGTTGAAAAGGAAAAGGAAAAGCAATTTTAGTGTTCAAGAAACTCAGACTCTTTTGAAAGAAATTACAAAAAGGAAAGAAGTCATTTTTTCCAAGCAACTCAACACAACAATTAACGTGATGAAGCGCATGGCTTGGGAGGAGATCGCACAGTGTGTGAATGCCGTGGGAGAAGGAGAACAGAGGACAGGGACCGAAGTGAAAAGGAGGTACCTCGACTGGCGCGCACTTATGAAGAGAAAGAGGATGAAAGCGAACATTAAGCTGGTTGGTTCTGGGTTTCCCCTTCCTTCATCTGATTTAGATGACTCTCTTACTGAAGAGATAGATGAAAAGATTGGATTCCGAAACGAAGCAAATTTTGATTGGCAAAATGTGGCAGATTTCAGGGATGCAGGTGGATCCTTAACTGAGGTCAAAGTGGAAGAGGAAGAAAGAGATCCCCAGAGTCCTGAGGTAAGTATTAGCCTGTGAGCCCTTTTATTCATTTAATTTCTTCAGCTGTGATGTGTGAGTTCATTATAGTCCAGGAGCAGTTAAGAAGCTCCCAGATTTTCAAGCTAACTTCAAAATAGAATATAAACTCATTCCATTTTCTTTTCTTTATATCATTAATCTTTCTTCTGACCTAAATATACTTCTCTCAATTATCTGTTAGTGACAACAGCTAATTCATTGCAAAATTATTCAAAATGCAAAGTAAATGGTTTTATGTCCTCAAACAATACAAAAAGATTTTAAGAAATATTTAGACAAATAACAATCATGAGATAGAAATAATACTGACAATTGCTTTTTTCTTTTAGTTTGAGATCGAGGAGGAGGAGGAAATCCAAACAATACAAAAAGATTTTAAGAAATATTTAGACAACAATCATGAGATCGAAATAATACTGAAAATTGCTTTTTTCTTTTAGTTTGAGATTGAGGAGGAGGAGGAAATACTGTCATCGGTCATACCAGATTCCCGGAGGGAAAATGAACTTCCTGACTTCCCTCACATCGATGAGTTTTTTACTCTAAACTCAACACCATCTAGATCTGCCTATGACGAGCCCCATTTGCTTGTAAACATAGAGAAACAGAAGCTGGAGTTGGAAAAGCGACGGCTGGATATCGAGGCTGAAAGACTGCAGGTCGAAAAGGAGCGCCTGCAGATCGAGAAAGAGCGGCTGCGGCACTTAGACATGGAGCACGAGCGGCTGCAGCTGGCGAAGGAGAGGCTGCAGATCGAGAGAGAGAAGCTCAGGTTACAGATAGTCAACTCGGAGAAACCGTCTTTGGAAAATGAACTCGGTCAAGGAGAAAAGCCCGTACTTCAACCACAGGACATAGAAACAGAGAAGTTAAAACTCGAGAGAGAACGCTTGCAACTGGAAAAAGATAGGCTGCAGTTTTTGAAATTTGAATCGGAGAAGCTGCAGATTGAAAAGGAGCGCTTACAAGTAGAGAAAGAGAGACTCCGAATTCAGAAGGAAGGACACTTGCAGTGATTTCTCTAGGTCTCCACTAGCAAGTGTTTGTAAACCGTAGGTTTTCTCTGTATCAGGTGATATGAAAATGGTCGCAGGATTAGCTGTTTTTCCCCGTTTAATGTCAGTGTTTCAATAGGAAAAAGATAGTTGTATGTGGGTAACTGTATGCTTAATAGTGTATTATATAAAAATTACGTGCCCTCGCATAGACAGCGTAGCAGGAGCTATTGCGCTGCACTCTGTAAAGCAGTGACATTGCATAGTGTGTGTAATCTGTGCACTGAGTTTACAGTCATGTTTGCGTAAAATTCTAGCTCAGTGATTCTCAGCTGGGGATGATTTTTGCCCCCAGTGGATGTTTGGCAGTTTTTGGTTGTCAGAACTGGGACGTCGGGCGTTGTGTTGGCCTGTCGTGGGTAGAGGCCAGGGATGCCTACGTCTGGCAGTGCGCTCGATAACCCGCCACAAAAAGAATTGTCCAACAGAAATGTCAGTATTACTGAGGGGAGAAGCCCTATCCCAGTCTGACTGCACCTCTGTGGCTTGTTTTATAGTTTCAGAGTATTAGACCTCAGATATTTGTGTGGGTAGTTACTTACATGGCCAACAAACTTTACTAGTAACTATGAAACATAACTGTGTAGTATATAGCATTTAGGAAGTGATGAAAAGTATAGATATTTTATTTCCATGTTTCCATCTATAAATAACCCGATTTCAGAAACAATACAGGGAACATCAGTGATTGTCCAAAATGAGTTACTTTGAAAAGCAGTTCATTCATCTAACTGTTGGTGCTTTAGAAGCAACACACACTTTTTAAGCTTTAGTTCCCTTTCTTCTTTGAATCCATTTCCATTGTAAAATTGTCATTTCAACCATGTACTGAAGTCTTAAAGTAAGTGAATGGTTGAAGCTAGTAAAAATGATACCAATGTAAAAACGATACCAGTAGTCCACGAGCTTGAACTCAGTGAGTGGTTATTTGACTTTTAAAATAAATAATAGTTATTTGGGTGTAGGGGTGGGAGAGAATGTCCTCTGAATCATGATGATGATGATGAAGTAATGATAATAGTAGCTGTGTGTTATGAATTAGGGAAGCACTGTCTGACCTAAACTGTAGAACAGTTTTTGAGGGTAGTACCTAATATTCCTTAATTGAGGCTCAGAGAAGTCACACACTGAATGAAGGGCTGATCTCATATATTGTAGTGTGTTTTGTCTTTGCTCCTTCCTGAGGAACAAAGTTTATATCTTCAGTCCCTTAAGTCTGGTATTTGTTCTGAGACCAAGGGCTTTTGCTTAACCTGGTGATTTGCTTTCAGCCCCCTGAAGTCCTTTTTCCACAAGCCAGGTGATTCTAATACACGCCAAAGTTGAGAATCACTGCACGAGATCACTTTGCATTTTCTGATTTCCAGGGCTGATGTGTAGCTTTAATATATATATCCCTTTTGTTGACAGATATTATCTTGATTCTGCGTTTGTTCCTTGTTAATTTAAGAATGTCTTGAAACCATATGTGATATCGGAGTATGGGTACACAAGGAAAAATAGACTTCTGCTTAGTTACCTTGACTTGACATAGTGTTATTTTTCTATAACTGAAATAAATGCTTCTACTCTAGAAATAAAATTTGCCTATACTTACTCTCTGGAAGCTTATCATTTCATGTGAGGCTATGAGGGTTGAGGTTATCCAGCTTGGAAGACAACCTTATCATGGCGAATGGAGGAAGGGGACCTAACATTTGTTAGGCACTATGCTTCCTGCTTTTCATACATTATTTTATTTACTCCTCAGAACAACCCTTCAGCTAAGTCATCTTATGCCTCCTTTTATAAGAAACAGTGCCTCATCAGTTTAATTAATTAAATATTTGAAAAATGACATTAATCCTGACCCAAGATTTTAGTGTAAGAGCTCTATGGAGAAGTTGTAGTGAGTTTGGAGGTGTAGTTATGTGTTGTAGCTTTGCCACATACTACTTGTGAAAGTCATTCAACTTGTCTGTGATTTGATTTCCTCCTCTATAAAATGGGCTTAATGATACCTGCTTTGTCTCTGCTTTATAGTTTTTTTGCCTTCCTCATTCTACCCAGGTGGTTGATCAAGTCCTGTCTTGTCTTCTGATGCTTTTGATCAACCTCCTCCAACCTCACCTGTGGCATTTGCAACCTGTATTGCAGCAGCCTCCTGTCTCAGCTCCTTCCTTCCTAATCCCCCCTGTATGACACTTCCAGAATAGATTTCCCCAAAATTCTGCTTTTACCATGTCCTGAGAATAAACGGCATGAAGTGGAAGAGGAGCAGAGCACTGGAAAGATCGGGGGTCCAGTCCCAGCTCCACTTTACCTGCCGGGTGATGTGGACAGGAGTTGTCTCTGAGCCTCATTGTTCTAGTCTCTATTACATCAAACATATGCCATACTCGACTCTCACTATGTGTGGAATAATAGCATTAGTTTATGAAAATGCAGTTTAAAACTTGAGAGCAACTTAGTGATATTGCAAATGTGTTCTACCTAAAATGAGTCTCCCATTCCCTTCTGTAGAAAGTCCTCAAATGTTCTTTGCCTACTTTAAGATTTTCTCGTACCAACATGATTAAATGTTTGTGAAGCTGCTCTCCAAATATTACATTAATTTTTCTTTGATCATGTTGCTTTCCTTGACCTTGCCATTTTTTTTTTAAAGATATTTTATTGATTTTTTACAGAGAGGAAGGGAGAGAGACAGAGAGTCAGAAACATCGATGAGAGAGAAACACCGATCAGCTGCCTCCTGCACATCTACTGGGGATGTGCCCGCAACCCAGGTACATGCCCTTGACTGGAATCGAATCTGGGACCCTTGAGTCCGCAGGCCGACGCTCTATCCACTGAGCCAAACCGGTTTTGGCGACCTTGCCATTTTTTATCCTCGTGTGGCAATCAGAGCAAAGCTTTTTCAGATCCAGGGACTTGACCATTTCTACCATTCTCTACCATAATTTAAAAATATGAAAATGAATTTTGCTGAATAGAATTGGAATATTTTATCATATAAAATTGGTATTGTTATGTCTTCCAAAGTCTCCATAGGGAACTTGAATAAAAATGTTAAAGTAAACATCAGTCTGCTCAGCTTATGTCTCATTCCCCACTTGTCTGAACACTGCTCCTAGACCAGGGGTTTGCAACCTTTTTGTGAGTGCGTGCCAAAACCAGCAAAATCTCTGACTCAAAATTCTTCTGCGTGCCAACCCTAATTTTTTGAGAACATGTTACGCCTACTTGAT